TATATCCATGTCCACTGTTTTTTTCTCATAAATTAGAAAAATTTCACGAAAATACATGACAATTTTTTGAATCTTTAAACCCGGTAAAAAGAACATATATGAAATTACCTGATCGCGAAGTTTATACCCTTTCCAAATATGAACATTTCCACATATAAAATAAATAAAATATCCAAAAACTTTTACCTCTAAATCATCTATTATATTATACACGTCACCAACGAATTCATACCGCAAACATTACAAATACTTAGTGTCAAATATTTAAATTATTTCCATGCATGTTTACTTCAACTTAAACGTATACCAAATTCCTACAAACATAAAATTCACAAAATAACTATCATTTAATTAAAATATCACTAAACCATGTACACATCGACTTATTTTTACTTAAAAAAACATCCCAGAATTGCACAAAAATGGCATTGCGCACACTCTTCACTATATCCATGTACACTGCTTTTTTCTCATAAAATTAGAAAAATTTTCACGAAAATGCATAACAATTTTCTGAATCTTTAAACCAAAAAAACGGTAAAAAGAACATATATGAAATTACCTGATCGCGAAAAAAGTATATAACCCTTTCCAAATATAAACATTTCCCTGTATAAAATAAATAAAATATCCAAAACTTTTACCTCTACATTATCTATTATATTACAAACGTCACTAACTAATTCATACCGCAAACATTACAAATGGTTACAAATACTTAGTTTCAAATATTTAAATTATTTCCATGCATGTTTACGCAAATTACTTTACTTCCACCTTACATTTAGAACAATGCATAAAAATAATATCCTCAAATAATTAAAAATACTAACTTACCTATTCTTCTTCAGAATCTTGATTATGTGTCCGATAAACTTTTCTTATTTCTTTTTCAGGATGTTTAAAATCATACTTATAGTTCACACCAAGGTACCAGGTAAAATAAATAACTTAATAAAACATCTTTACTTCTATCACGCACAACCTTAAAGAAACACTTATTACTACCCCTTTCAATCCCACTAAATACCCATTTCGAATTCACTTTAGTTAGGGCCATGGGATCCAAAAATTAACGAACACTGTTTCACACAACACAGAATAAAGCCAAATACAAAATTTCCAGATTTTTTTCCCGATTCCCCCCCTTTTTTCCGATTAAAGAACCGTAATTCATCCATTAATATCACATGACATATCCCATGATCTCTCATTTCCCTCACACAAAATAATGCGTAATCGGAACTGAGTACTGCTCACTTTATTACCAAAGTCCCAGGTAGTAACCTTTATCGCCTCCAAAATGTCGCCAAACTACCAGTTACCATATTCTAAAGATCAGCCAGAAGTTGATCTGTCAGCCCTATCCTTATCTTAAGGGCAGAAGTTTTTATTTTATTTGGATTATAATTCCTTACTAAATGTAGTATTTCATCTCGATGTACTCCATCTTTGATATGATTTAAAACAAGTTCCTCGTCATTATAATTCGGTTCCGATAGTGAAGAAAGTGACAGAGGTTATTGAAAACGAAAGAAGTTCGGTTGACAAATTAGTCGGTATTCTCGACACAGCAGTTATAGGACTTGAACAGTGGAACTTTGTAACTAAACAAGAAATCATGTCTGTTTAATAGAATTAAAGAGAAAGTATTATCAAATGAAACGAAGCAACTTAAACAACTTACATTGAAAGAAATGTTTAATAAAATAAACAAATCAATATTAAGCTTTTTCTTTTTGTAAATTTTGATACTCTTCAGATCATAATTGTTCTTTATTTCATAGATTACGGTTTCATATTTTTAATTTTGTAATTTCTGCACACCATCTACCAGATTTAAACTGATGTGTTTATAATCCAGAATCGCTGAAGTCCCGACGAGTCCGGATTAATGACTTTTGACTGTATATTGGTTTTCTTTTGCTGGCATAGCAGTGGAAAAAAGGAATTGGATTCTATGGAACCTCAGTTAACAAAACTGCACTCTTCCTTTAATTTTCCGACTTGAAGCAGCTAATTTCTTAGTTCAGTCATTCAGTCCTATCAAAATTACAGTTTTAGTAAATGATAACGCTTCCTGTCCATTTTGCTCGTTCTCCAAAAACCGTACATTCATCTATTAGAGAATGGATATCCAAATTCTGTGCATACTGAAATGCACATATAAAGGAGACTTTTAGAAATAATGCTGAAGTAAAACCATTCAAGAATTCTAGAAATATTTTAATATAAAATCCAACATGTTGATTGCTACAAAATCATGATGGTACATGTCTGAAGATATTGTTTAAAATGTTTGGCATAATTTATAGCCATCTACCAAATTTCATTATAATTATTCATTATTTCATTATTATAAGAGTAACGAATCTGAAGGTTTGGGGATATTGCAAGAATGCAAGAAAAAAAAAAAAATTTCCTATTAATGGAATATGAAAAAAAATTCTAAATGAAGATGATATAACTGAAATCTTCACCATCAATTAATTAATGGAATGGCACATATTGCTAGTATACTTTTAAATACAGAAAATATTGGTGTTTGAAATTTGTCACATTTTAATTTTACGCGGTGATCATTCAGGGAAAGTGGACTTTCTTTACACAAAATACCTCTTTTTCAGAACATGTATTAACAAAGAATGTCTTTTTAATAATTTCTACATGTAATCTTACTAGATTTAAATTGATGATCTAAAATCCAGAAATTTCCAAAACTGCCCAATGATTTTTTTAATTTTGAACTGTAAATATACTTACATACATATATACCAGAGACTTTTATACTAGCACTGGATGCTAGTATAAAAATTGTTATTATTAGTTATTGGAGCTAATGATCAAGCTAACAAGTGCTTACTAATCCCAGAAAATGCAATAGATCATTTAATTTCAAACAAGATTTCTTTTGATGGACAAATCACGCACATTTTGGTATTAAGTGCTATTCTATCCTCCTAGGCTTGGTTTTTCAGATTTTGATGAGACAAAATATTGCAGATTCTTGAAATGATTAAGAAATTATTCCCAATCCCAATATGTTAACCAGATATTCAATCATAGCTAAGATTTGTTGCTTTTGGAAGGAATGTTACCATGGGCTTTCTATGGCAATCTACATTATACTCAAGTAAAACTGCAAAAATATTATAACACAGTCAATTCATTATTTTGATAATAAAATCTCAGAAAACAAGCAATAAACAAGTTTCTTTAACACTTTAGCCTCTTACGAGTTTGGATAAAAACACAAGAAATGTGATTTGACATTAGATTAAGATGTTGCAGCATGAAATATGACTGTCTGAGTTCAAATATTGGATTTTATTTAGATTTTGTAAATACTGTAAGTAATTACTTCAAAGATTCTAATTACATTTCCTAGATATTTTTTTTTAATATTATAAATCAAATACGAGGAAATGATACATAAATCAATTCTGAATGTGAACTTTAAGAAGACAATATTGCAATAAACTACATTAAAGTATATTCTGTTCAATATAGTTATAAAACAAAAGTTTTACAAGTGATCATTGAGATACTCAACCTTTTTATTAAAATTACAATAGAAAAGATAAGAAAATTTATTTATACGATTAGCTAGCATATTCATAATTCATATTCACTACACCTAGCATATTTGCAACATGAAAATACTAATCCAAATAAGTATTGTTATTAAATACATATACATGTAAACAGCATGATTCAGCTGTAGTATAATATGCAACATACACACTACATACGCACAGACGTTACTAGTATGATGATGAGAAAAAGAAAAACACAAATTCTGTAGTTTCCTCCCATGGTACAAAACTGTTGGTAGATGTTAAATTAGTCCTGTTTCCCCCACACCAAAGTTTTAAAACTTTTGCCTGAATAAAATGTGGTTATACATGAATTGCAAAAATTTCTTCAAATCTTTCACTTCGGCCTTGCACTGTTGTTAAATGAATCTGGACTTTGCGACCATTACATACTTAACTAAAAATTTCCAAATTAACTCCTAAGTTATATTCACGCTAATTTTACTCTTTTCCCCCCTCCCCCACAATGCCAAAACTCTTATGTAAAATAAGTATAAACTCATAATCAACTTTTTTATTTCGATAGATTTTATACTCTTTAAACAATAAAAACGGGACATATACGATAAGTAGTAAACGGGTATTTCAAAGAATATATATAGTTATACATAGTATATACTATGTACATAGAACGTTCTTTTGTTAATTTTTGGTGTTGGCGATAATGTTTAAAATCGCGCCAAGGCTGCACCGTATACTAGGATTTTACCAAACAGAGTGATGGAAAAAGTTAGATAATTCTTGGAATGAGGCAATGACATCAGAAAAGAAAAATACCATAAGGAGTGATTATTCAGTAATATTTTGCATGCTTAGTACAAAGAATTAACACGATTAGATGCGTTTACGTGTTTTTTATATGCATTTATGGTGAATGCATATCCACAGTATTTATCTAAAAGAATTAGTTATTTTATACACAGACCACAGTAAAATGATGATGTGAAAGCAGTCACTATGTAAATATTTTATTTGAACAAAAGACTAAATTACAATTAATATTTCTCAGATATATTCTTGATACATCTGCAATCAATTCTAGAGCTACATAAATACAGGAAATCAAATAAATTATGCGTCAAGAGTATTTCCGGCAATGCTTTATGCGAAACGATAAATGACTGAGGTTATTGCCCCTCAAGCTGTAGTAAATCAAACATTATACATATTTAAAACTAATTCAGTACATTCACATTAAAAAAATATATTCATGAATGTCGTCATACTATCAATTACATCCAATTTCAATAGATTTATATATTTGAATTTACCAACAGAAAAAAAAATTCGAAATTAAACATACGAAACGCATAAAAGCAAATTACACACATAATGTATCACATATAAAATATATTTTAAAATTTTGCTATCCTCAATTTTAATTTAAACTAAATGTTTACATACCATTTGTAGACTATGTCTTGCTAAATTCGCAGTTGTTATTATTCGGTATTATTTACTTCAGTATCTACGATAAGATATGTATACATAGACAGTTAGCCAATCAGAACGCAGATCTCACTCTCACTTTTTTTATGTATGATCTTTGCAATCTTTGTGACTGACGACATGCGATGACTCAGTTTACAGATAGATCTGTTTATTTAATAAACAAATGCCACGCCCTGGACGATTAAGGATGCTACGTAGCAATTTCGTGAATTCTGGACAAAACATTTAAAACTTCGAAATACAGGGTGATTATAATTAAAGTTTAAGTTTCAAAACGCTATAAAAATAGAACCACTCATGAAAATGACGTCAAATTTGAAAGGAATGTTATTGAAGAAGGCGGAAAGCGTATAGCAGAAGAAAAAATTTAGTTTCAAAAGTTAGCAACAGATGGCGCTGCAAGCGGAAGAAGACGTACATTAAAATGTTAATTAAATTTCAGTGTTATAAAGCCGCCAGGTACCAGGCTGTTCCTCATTTCGCGTCTCAGACGTTCGCCATGGGTGTTTCACACTGCAGGACCGCGCTCTGCTGGTAAAGCTGTATTTCAAGAATGATGATTGTGCAAGAGTAGCCTCTGCAAAAATTCAGGACCTGAAGGTATAAAAAGAAGGCGTTGGTCCAATGAGTGTCGTAGGTCTAAAGAAAATGATGCAAAAATTCGAAACGACAGGTTCGTTTGATGTGCAATCTGTAGAGAGAAGAAAACGAGTGCATTCGACGTAGTTGAAGAAATGGCCACAGCCTTACAGGAGGGGTCGGCGGTGGTGTGCAACCGTGAGTGCACGAGGAATGCCCGAACATTGGACAGGCCTACAAGCACGGTGCTGAAAATTGTACGAACATCCTGCAATGCTATCCGTACAAAATTGGCCATTGCAGGAGTTGCTTCGTCTGACCTGACAGCTAGGAGACGTTTGCGTTAGAATTCCGGCTCGCATGGAAGTGGATAATAATGGCCGTGGAAAATTTTGTGGTCAGAATGAAGCCCATTTCCATTTGACAGGATACGTGAATACCCAGAATTGTCGAATATGGGCAAAAGAAAATCCACTGGCAACGCACCCCGTACCACTTCATCCTGGAAAGGTCACGGTATGGTGTGGCTTTACGGCATCATTCATCCTACAACCATATTTTTTCGAGCAGACGGGTGCTTCTGGTCCTGTTACCGCAACCATCACTGGTCAGAAGTATGCGTCTCTTTTAAAATGAAGGAGAAGAGGAACCGGAGATGAAAATGTGCATGACCAATTTCAGAATAGGAAGGTAGAGCAGGTGATGAGCTGGCGTGGTGAAGTGAAGATATAAATTAGAATAGGAAGAGAGACATAAATTTGGGTACTTACTTATTTCAGAGATTTGTCGGTGTTGGAGGTAGCTAGGAGAAGAGTTTTTCGGTTGAAGAACGTTTGTCGAATGGTATTTTTGTCTTTTACAGAAGGAAGTGCTTTGGACTCTCGGTCTTGTTGTAATGCAAAGTAGGGAGAGAAGAGGAAGATGAAAGTTGAGCATAGTGGAGAGATGTTAATGAAGGAGGAAAGCCAGCAGGCATGTAGAGCTCCAGAAGAGATTGGTGAAGAGGTAGTGGTTGAGGGAGACAGAGGGCTGGAGGTACAGTCGGTCACAAAAGTATTCGAACACCGGTACCCATTCAGAAAATTTACTTTTCCGTTGAGAAACAAAATTGTCTCCAGAGTCCATCTTGGTTCGATAGAAAAAAAAAAAACAAAAGGATGGCTCATGTCCAAAATTGGCTAGGTGCATGAAACAAAATACAACATGACCTATCTGGGTGAGATGGGAAACAAAATGGCTGCTCACGTGATCCATTATTGCGCTCATAGAAAACGCAAAGTGTCGCTGCGGCTCGTCTCGGTTCGCGAAGAGTGAAAACCCAAAACGGTCTGCAGTGTCTATCTTTGTTGGATGAGAAAACAAAAGGATGGCTCATGTCCAATTTATTTAGGTGTGGGAAAACTATAACGTGACCTATCTGGATGAGATGTCTCCAGCGATCCAGTATAGACTTTTTCCCCATCTGCAATAGGTGACATCTATAAACAATTTCATTGAAATCTCCTCGAAATATAAGAAACAGCTAGCTCGTGAAATTGTAAGGTATTCCCAAAAAATTCCACTTCTTGAAGAAGGAAAAACATCCTAGATGCAGATGAGGTAGAGAGAGAAAAAGCATGTTGCACCATGGAGAGCCCGCACGGTTCTGAACAGAAAACGTGGAATGCTTTTATAGAAAAGACTTTTATAAAAGTGAAAGAAAAAAGCCGATTGGAAAATTTTTCACTTGGTTGCCGACTGGGAAAAAATTTTCAGAGCTCAGAAAAAAAATTCTGAGATGTAAAAAAAAAAAAAAAAAAAAACTTTTTGTTAATTTTTATCATGTCTTCTAGACATGATAAAAATTAACCCTACCCCCTTTTTGTGTGGGAATGTTGTCTCACTGTTTCTAAAAATAGACCATGACTCATTCTAGGAATTATGTTTTAGAAAGGATGAGTCATGGTCTTTGGGTTTCTCCATTCCAAAGTAAACAAAGTGAAGACATCAAATTAATAGAAAAAAGGAAGAGTTTTTTTTTTTTTTTTTTCAGCTTCTGGAAATATTTTTCCCATTCAACAGCCAAGAAATATTTCCAGCCAATACAATTTCATTTTTACTTTCACTTTCAATTCATTTCTTATATCTATAAGAACATTTCATGTTTCTGTTCAGATCAGTGTGGGTTGTTCAAGACGCAGCAACTCTACTCCATCCCACAACCAGGAAAAAAACAGCCCACTCAATCGCTAAAATGGATTAAAAATAAATTCTTTCATACATTTTTAAACCTCAAGAGTGTTAGCTGTCATGGAAAAGAAGCCTTTTTTTTCCCCTGAGCTCTAAGAAAATGTTTTCCCAGCAGACTCAATCGCTGAAATGGATTAAAAATAAATTCTTTCATACATTTTTTAAACCTCAAGAGTGTTAGCTTCTCATGGAAAGAGCCTTTTTTTTCCCCCTGAGCTCTAAGAAAATGTTTCCCAGCCCACTCAATCGCTGAAATGGATTAAAAATAACTTCATTTCATACATTTTTAAAAAGCTCAAGCGTGTTAGCTGTCATAGAAACTGAAATTTATGTCATGGTTTGTTTGTCTCACACGTCGTCAACGGTATGGTTTGAGGTGTCTTTCAATATCATGACATCTCCTTTCAAATAGGGAAGGATTTTTCTTTTTATTAAAAAAATGTGAATCTGTTGCATCCAAACCACGGATGGGAAATTCTGATTCATGGATGGATCATCATCCAATTTCGCTAGAACCTGATAAACGGTTGCTGATGAAATCCAAACGAGAAGGCCAAGCTTTTCAAAAGGTTTCCCCTAAACAGAAAGATGATTTCTATTCTGTGAGACTTAAAAAAAAGAAACTGGTTCAAGAACTTTTCTTGAAGTTTGGGTCCAGATGAGAGAAAAGAGAAAAAGCATGTGCACCTTGGATCGTGGGACTTTTTATAGAAAGTGAGTAGAAAATAAGAAAGCAAATCGTCTTGGCTGGAAAATTTTCACTTGGTTGCCGACTGGGAAAAAATTTTCAGAGCTCAGAAAAAAAAATCTGAGATGTAAAAAAAAAAAAAAAAAAAAACTTTTTGTTAATTTTTATCATGTCTTCTAGACATGATAAAAATTAACCCTACCCCCCTTTTGTGTGGGAATGTTGTCTCACTGTTTCTAAAAATAGACCATGACTCATTCTAGGAATTATATGTTTTAGAAAGGATGAGTCATGGTCTTTGGGTTTCTCCATTCCAAAGTAAACAAAGTGAAGACATCAAATTAATAGAAAAAAAGGAAGAGTTTTTTTTTTTTTTTTTTTTCAGCTCTGGAAATATTTTTCCCATTCAACAGCCAAGAAATATTTCCAGCCAATACAATTTCATTTTTACTTTCACTTTCAGTTCATTTCTTATATCTATAAAAACATTTCATATTTCTGTTCAGATCAGTGTGGGTTGTTCAAGATGCAACATCTCTACTCCATCCCACAACCAGGAAAAAAAGATGTTCTTTCATGAGGAATTCTTTTGGCTTTCGAAAACAACGATGACATGATGATTGTAATATATTTCTGTTCTCATGTCCGATGCTTGAACTCAGAATTATTTCCAGAGCTCTGAGAATTTTTCCTAGTCACTCGATGACCCAAATTTCGTATATTTATTTAAGCCACTCGAGTTTCGACTTCCCATCCGTGTGTGCTGTGCATTCAACCTGGAGACACATTCCCTGAGCTCTAAGAAAATGTTTCCCAGCCCACTCAATCGCTGAAATGGATTAAAAATAAATTGTTTCATACATTTTTAAAGCTCAAGCGTGTTAGGTGTCATGGAAAGAGCCTTTTTTTCCCTGAGCTCTAAGAAAATGTTTCCCAGCCCCCTCAATCGCTGAAATGGATTAAAAATAAATTCTTTCATACATTTTTAAAGCTCAAGTGTTAGGTATCATGGAAAGAGCTTTTTCTTTCCACAGCCCACTCAATCGCTGAAATGGATTAAAAATAAATTCTTTCATACATTTTTAAAGCTCAAGCGTGTTAGGTGTCATGGAAAGAGCCTTTTTTTCCCCAGAGCTCTAAGAAAATGTTTCCCAGCCCACTCAATCGCTGAAATGGATTAAAAATAAATTCTTTCATACATTTTTAAAGCTCAAGAGTGTTAGGTGTCATGGAAAGAGCCTTTTTTCTTTTCACAGCCCACTCAATCGCTGAAATCGATTAAAACAAATTCTTTTCATACATTTTTAAAAGCTCAAGAGTGTTAGGTGTCATGGAAAGAGCTTTTTTCTTTTCACAGCCCACTCAATCGCTGAAATCGATTAAAAACAAATTCTTTCATACATTTTTAAAGCTCAAGCGTGTTAGCTGTCATGGAAAGAGCCTTTTTTTTTCCCCAGCCCACTCAATCGCTGAAATTTTTTTCACAGCCCACTCAATCGCTGAAATGGATTAAAAATAAATTCTTTCATACATGTTTAAAGCTCAAGCGTGTTAGCTGTCATGGAAAGAGCCTTTTTTTCCCAGCCCACTCAATCGCTGAAACGGATCAAAAATAAATTCTTTCATACATTTGTTTAAACCTCAAGACTGTTAGCTGTCATGGAAACTGAAATTTATGTCACGGTTTGTGTGTCACACGTCGTCAACGGTATGATTTGAGGTGAAAATTGAAAACCCGGTATGAAAAATCTCTTTAACTTCACTTTAGAAGAAGGTGTGGGATAGAGAGATTTCGTCATGGGAAAATGTCTTTC